CAGAGAAGAGCAACAAAGAGGATTAGGGGACTGGAGGCTAAAACATACAAGGAACGGTTACTGGAATTGGGTATGTCTAGTTTAATGAAAAGAAGGTGACATGATAGTAGTGTTCCAATATCTCAGGGGCTGCCACAAAGAAGAGGGGGTCAGGATCCAAAAGGGGTGTCAAGCTATTCCCCAAGGCACCTGAAGGCAGGACAAGAAGCAATGGGTGGAAACTAAACGAGAGAAGCAATCTGGAATTAAGGAGAAATTTCCTAAAAACAGTGGAAAGGCTTTCCACCAGAAGTTGTGGATGCTCCATCACTGGAGGTTTTAAAGAAGAGATTGTAGAGCAGTGGTTCTCAACCTGTGGGTCGGGACCCCATTTGGGATCGATCGACCATTTCATGGGGGTCGCCAAGCAAGGCTGTCCGCCATTTTTTTTGTCCATTTTTTTTTTCCTCCATTTTTTTCCCCTTTTCCGGAGGGGGCCTTACCTCCCTTGGGCTGGGCCAGCTGGTGGTCGGCCTGCTCCATCTCTGCCGCTTGCCAGCTACGCCTCGGCCAGTGCAGGGGGCGGAACCACGCATGCACGGCGCTCCCGGGCAGGGAAAGTCCTCGACTTATGACAGGTTGGGTAGTCCTCGACTTATGACTGGTTTAGTCCTCGACTTACGACCGGTTGGGGTCGCGGCATTAAAAAGATTGAGAACCACTGTTGTAGAGTCATTTGTCGAAAACGGTATACGTTAGGTTTTCTCCTCTTGCAGGGGGTTGGACTAGAAGACCTCCAAGGTCCCTCCCAACTCTGTTATTCTGTATTACAATATTATTATTATTCTGCCTGGGGGGATTTTAACTGCTGTCTGCCAGCAGATGGCAGTGTGGCTCCATCAAACTGAATCCAGCTTGGCTTTAATAATTCCAGGTTAAGGCCAGCCTCTCCTTCTCTAACCAGATAGTCCCCCACTTATGACAGGTCACTTAATGGCCGAAGTTACAACAGACCGACTTGGAGGCTGGTTACAACCCGATTCTGAAGTTCTGGCGGTCGCCCCACCTAACTTTGGGAGCATGACTGCTTGTAGCTTTTTGCGGCCATTTGGCGTATTTTGTGATAGTTTCACCCAGGAGTAGACAAACTTGGCTCTTTTATGACTCGTGGACTTCAACTCCCAGAATTCCTGAGCCAGCCATGCTGAGGGAAAAGGAGAGGTTTCCATGCTGAGCCATGCTGGCTCAGGAATTCTGGGAGTTGAAGTCCATAAGTCATGAAGGGGCCATAGTTCCTCCATGCTGGCTCAGGAATTCTGGGAGTTGAAGTCCACGAGTCATGAAGGGGCCATAGTTCCCCCATGCTGGCTCAGGAACTCTGGGAGTTGAAGTCCACGAGTCATGATGGGGGCCATAATTCCCCCATGCTGGCTCAGGAATTCTGGGAGTTGAAGTCCACCAGTCATAAAAGAGCCAAGGTTGCCTACTCCTGGTTTTACCCAAATCTGGCACTTTGCTTAATGACCGTGGCATTTTTTTTTAACGACGGCTGAAATCAACCTATCCTTTTTACAACTGTCATGTCTCATGACTGCAATAGGCAGGTTCCATTATGGTCGGAAGTCAAGGACTACCTGGCAGGAATTCCGATTTGGGAGCTCCCCATGATGCAGTTCCCAAAAGCTCCGTACAAGTGATCCCCAACTTACGACCACAATGGAGCTCCAAATTTCTGTCGCTAAAGGAGACAGTTGGTGAGTTTTGCCCCAATTTACGACCTTTCTTGGCACCGTTGTTAAGTGAACCACTTCAGGTGTTAAGTTAGTAACCTGGTTAAGCGACTCTGGCTTCCTCATCCGATTTGTCAGAAGGTCGTAAAATGTGATCCCGTGACCCCAGGATGCTGCGACGGTCATAAATGTGAGTCAGTTGCCAAGGGTCTGAATTTTGACCACGTGACCGCAGGGATGCTGCAATATTCGTAAGTGTGGAAAACAGTCAGAAGTCACTTTCATC